TCTGAGGAAGCCCAGACATTGAACATACTAGAAAAACACTTTAATTAATCAATTTTAAATACCTTCAAAGAGTTAAAACAAATCATGTTCAAAGAATGAAAGGAAAATGTGATAATGATATCTCACCAAAGAGAAAACATTAACAAATTATAAAAAAGAACCAACTGTTTCAAATCTATTTCAACTCCAAAAATTCTGGACATGAAAACCATAATAACGGAGATAAGAATATTCTTAGAAGGGTGCAACAGCAGATTTGAGCAGGCAGAAGAAAAAAATCAGTGAGTGTGAAAATGGGTCAATTGAGATTATCCAGTCTGTGGAACAAAAGAAAAAAGGAATGAAGACCTGTGGAACGCCATCAAGTGTATGAACATATAAGTAACGGGAGTCTATCATAATTAATCTATCTTGAAATAAAATTACGTATATATACATGTATACATATACACATATATGTCTTATATACTTAGTTAGATTTTAAGCTTTTTGAAAGCAAGGACTTTGTCAATGTATTTTTATTCTCCAAAGCCAATATACTACATATATAATACATTAATACATACATATGCACACAAATATATATATTAATTTGAACAACTTCTCTTTAATTTGGATTAGGCATAATTTTCAAATATCACACTACATTTACACTGGATTTATGAATGACAGTTAATACCTAAAGATGCTTCATTATAATATTCAAATTAATTATTTTCTTCTTGATAGGTCTAATCTAGTTTTTATCATTTTCTCTTGGCATATGACATTCAATTTCATCTGCAGATTCAGTTCATCTAGTGTTTCAATAGAATTTTCCAGAAACAAATCTTTAACTTATACTTCTAAAAAATAATACAAAATCTTAAGACATTAGATTGAGCAAAGTTTTAAAAAAAATTTTTATTTTTAATTATTACAGGTGCATAATAGTTGTATATATTTATAAGATATAGGTGATGTTTTCATACAGGCATCCAATGTTTGATAATAAAATCACGGTAACTGTGGTATCCATCACCTCAAACATTTGTCATTTCTTTGGGTTAGGAAAATTCCAGTTTCACTCCTTTAGTTATTTTAAAGTATACCGTGAGTCATCCATACCGTTGACTATAGTCTCTTTGTTGTGCTATCAAATATTGTTCATTGTATCTAACTATATTTTTGCTTTTATTAAACATTCCCACTATATCTCCCCTCCCCATTACACTTCCCAGCCTATGGTTATCATCATTCTACCCTCTGCCTCCACAAGATCAATTGTTCTCCCACATATGAGTGAGAACATGTGAGATTTTTCTTTGGGCGCTTGGTTTATTCCATTTAACATAATGTTCTCCTATTGTAAACAACAGGATTTCATTCCTTTTTATGGCTCAATAATTTTCCATTGTATATATGGACCATATTTTCTTTATCTATTCAACCATTGATGGACACTTCAGTTGATTCCATTTTGTGGCTATTGTCAATAGTTGTGCAATAAATATGGGAGTGTAGACATCTTTTAGATGTACTGATTTCCCCTCTTCTGGATACATATCTGGCAGTGGGATTGCCGGGTCACAGGGTAGTTCTACTTTTGTTTTTTTAAGGAACCTTCATAGTATTCTCCATGGCGGTTGCACTAGTTTACATTCCCACTAACCGGGTACAAGCGTTCCCTTTATCCACATCCTCAGCAGCACTTGTTATTGCCTGTCTTTTGGATAAAAGCCATCATAACTGGGGTGAGATGGTATCTCATTGTAATTTCGATTTACATTTCTCTGAAGACTAATGATGTTGAGCATTTTTTCATACACCTCTTAGCCATTTGTATATCTCCTTTTGAGAAATGTTTGTTCAGATCTTTTGCCCACTTTTTAATCTGATTATTTGATTTTATTACTATTGAGTAATTTGAGCTCCTTATATATTCTAGTTATCAATTCCTTGTCAGATGGGTAGTTTGCAAATATTTTCTTTCATTCTGTGGGTTATCTCTTCATTTTTTTAAAATTATTTCCTTTGCTGTGCAGAAGCTTTTTAGCTTGATGTGATCCCATTTTACAATTTTGCTTCAGTTGTTTATGCTTTTGGTGTATCACTCAAGAAATTATTGCCTAGACAAATGTCCTGGAGCATTTCCCCAATGTTTTCTTTTAGTGGTTTCATAGTTTCAGGTTTTAGAGTTAAGTCTTTAATGCATTTTGATTTGATTTTTTGTGCATGGCAAAAGATAAGGGTCTAGTTTCATTCTTCTGCATATGGATATCTAGTTTTTCAGCATCATTTATTGAAGAGAATGTCTTTTCTCTAGGGCATATTCTTGGTACCATTGTCAAAAATGAGATCACTATAGATAGGTGGATTTATTTCTAGGTTCTCTATTCTGTTCCATTGACCAATGTGTCTGGTTTTATGCCAGTAACAAGAATTTTTTTTAATGTTTAACAACAAATGCACAATTCATAAAGGAAAAACATTGAAAATTGGCCTCCATCAAGTTTAAAATTTTCAGTTCTTCAAAAGTCTCATTTTCATAAGAGAATGAAAAGCCAAGCTATATACCGAGAGAAAATATTTGAAAATGTATGCAATCACACATGTGATAAACATCTTGTATACAGAGTGTATAAAGAACTGTCAACATTCAGTAAGAGGTTAACCCAATAAAATATGGGCAATGTATTTGAATAGGTACTTTATCAAAAATATATGGGTGGCATCCTATAATATGAACCACCAAACATACAAAGCACAATGTTAATATTTAACAATCTTATGCACATGGACCTTTATTATAGAAGTGAATGCATGTAATGTTAAAGAATCAAAGCATTTACTTACCTTTATTAAAGACTTCAAATTGTTAACATAAGTGTTTGCTATCTTGTAGCATCTTTTCTAGAAATAGGCTCAAATTCATCTTTGTTAATTATATTCCAATCACCTGTCAGTTCTATTTGGAAATACCTTGATCTTAAGCATTCTAAGGCATTTGTACTTTTATATCTCTTCACTTAATTTTCACAAAACAAATCCATACTCTACCTTTGTGTGTGCCTCACTTTCTTAGGAAAGAACAAGGAAATGTAAATTGTCCCATGTTATTTTCCACATAAAGCCCCCTCACCTTCTCCGTCTCTGTTCATTCTTCCTAATATTCCTAACAAACCCATAACTGATGATTTGAGTAATCACATTTGAACTTTTTTCACATATTTCACTAAGCTTAGGGAGCACATAAGTGAGGGTAGACATTTAGACATCAGTGTGGCTGGCCATACCATCCATTATCTCATTTATGTCAAAGTTTGATGTACTTTATTTTTTGGATTAACATGAATTTCCTTCTTTTCATATAACTCTTTTGAAATTTATGCATACTGTGAAAATATAATTTTTTAATTGAAAGGTCTAATTCTTATTCAAAGATATTAAAGTACATGCAGATAGAAGTAGTTAAGTTTTCCCCTAAGATTCAGCATTATGAATCTCTCCCTTATATTTTTATAAAAAAGCACTTAACAATATAATCATTCTTTTTGCTTTCAGCTGGCTCTCAATTATATTTAACAAGTTATAACTTGATTGTTACATAGTACGTCATCACAATTATTACCATCACAATCATTAGCACCACCACCACCACTACCATCATCGTCATCACTCAATAGTAATTATAGGAAAGTAAGGAAGAATTCACATCATGATGATATATCTAAAAAATATTTTTTCTAGGAAAATCATTGTCTACATTACAAACTGTTGCTCATCTATCCATAACCATTTGAAATATAATTTCCTTAGTGAAACCTTTTCTGATTTCCCTAGGTTTAGTTAATTTCATCTCTCAAATTCCATAAGGCTCTGATTCTAAAACTATTAGGAGAATTTATCATATAATATCACTAGGATTTGATGACATTTTTTCCATCTATATGATATGCTCCTCAAGATTGAATGTCATATCATAGGCAACTTTGAATATCCAGTGCTTGCTCATTGTCTGGCCCAAGGCAATCGATTAATAAAAATTTACTGAATAAATGAGTGAATAAAACCTCATATGGATGTGAGTTATACTTACCTAAGGATAATGATATTACATAACAGCTTTGCAATATCTTATTTTCTGAATATTTAGTGAGACCTTAATAATTGCCAGTAAAAACTTCATTTTCTCTCAGCCTGCTCAAAATGGTTACACACCATTTGACATTTTTCTGTGTTTAAAAATCTTTCTGTTTTTAAGAGCATTATTTTGAGAATTTTTATGAATTGCCTTTAGGGGTAGTTTAATTTTTAACCAGTGGCATTAATTTCACTCCCAGGTATACTAAATTATGTGACAAGTTAATTTTAAACCTAGGGCTGTCAATCTTTCTAAATTAAGTTTGGGATCAAGGAATTTGGTAAGGGTCAATCCAGTGGATTTGCTTTGAGGTAGTGAAAGTGCCTGTGGGGAACTAATTAAAGAAAATAAGATTTCCAGCCTCTTCCCTCCACCCCTTTCCCAGCCATGTTAGGCTGGGGGCATCCTCATATATTTTACAGATAGTGCAATAATCAGGATTTTAAGATATACTTCCTTCTACTGACTGTGTGACCTTAAACAAAGTACCAAGATATTTTTGTACTTTAGTTATCCACTTTTAAAAGAAAATTACTTTATCATCATTTTATAGGCTGAAGTGAATGAAATAGTGAAGATAACATACATAGCATAAACTGGAACTCAAGAAATAGAAATGTGGTTTCTTAATTTTGTTTGTTCTCATTTTAAAATAAAAGTTGTGAAATAAGTCAGGAATAGAGCTTTAAACACCACATGTTCTTACTCATATATGGAAGCTAGAAGTTGATCTCATAGATGTAAAATGTAGAACAGTGGTTTCCAGAGGATGGAAAGGGTAGAAGGAAGGGGGTGATAGGGAGAGATTTGTTAAAGGATACAAAATT